TTTTCCCGGTGATTCCGGATATCCAGAGGACCGTATCCGTGCATTTTTAAAAAATGTGAAGAACCCTTAGTTAAGAAGATATATCTCAGTGACATATTGATTTGGTCCCCCGGTGGCCATTAAATGCCTTTCTGGATATCCGGATTCACCGGGAAAATGGTCAATTCTTAAAAGTAGCTGCCCGATTTTTTTCTAATTTGCAAACAATCATGAGCATACAGGAAATATACCATCACCATATCAATTCTGCAACCAAGTGGCCAGAAAACGGTCCTCTGGATATCCGAAATCACCGGGAAATTAGTCAATTCCAGAAAGTAGACCTAGAAATTCGCCATTTTTTTCTATATTGCATACAATCATTAGCATAGAGGAAATATGACATCAAGATATCAATTTTGCTACCGGGTGGCCAGAATACGGTCCCCTGGATATCCGGAATCACCGGGAAAATAGTAAATTCGAAAAAGTTGACCAGGAGATCCATGAGTTTTTAGAAAATGTGAAGAACCCTTAATTGAGAAGATATATGTCAGTGCCATGTTGATTTGGTCCCGCAGGGGTTATTGAATGCCCTTCTGGATATCCGGATTCACCGGGAAAATGGTCAATTCCGGAAAGTAGACCTATAGATCCGAGGGATTTTCAAAGGAGCATTATCCTGACATAAAGTCCTTAGAAATTATTAGAAGAATTTGGAGGGATTTCTGTGGAGAAGAATGCAAGTTCTAAATTAAGATCTTAGATAATTTTAGATGATTTCAAAAAGTTTTGAAAAATAAAAACATTAAGGGAAATTCCTACGTGATTCTGAGGAGATTTGTATGGGGATCGTTAGGAAAATGACAGATGTATTTGAAGAAAAATTCCAAGAGTATTCAACAAGAAACAGATTTCTAATAGTGTGCTTGGGATAATTTCAACCCTAGTGCAAAAGATTCATCACAGAGCCCCAAGAATGGCAAAAAAAATTGTTGTTCATTAGAAAGAAATTCTTTAAAATACTCCAAGAGGTTTCTAAATAGAATTTCGAAAGATTTCTGCTGCTTTGAATAGAGTTAAAAGAATTTCAAAGGAATCAAAGTCTCCGAATAGGTTCAAGGGAATTCTAAGAATGATTCCAATCAAATTCTCAGAAGAAGTTTCAAGGAAATTTCGAAACGAATTCAACGGTTATTATTACGCGGAGTGTTTTCTGGTTGATTTTAAAAAGAATCCCATAATAATTCAGAGCAGAATTCCAAGTTAGTTCTGGAATTCAAATCATTAGAATTTTGAATAACGAAAATTTAAAACCCCGGAAAGAAATAGGGTAGAGCGCTACTTCGTCGTAATCGCCCATTTCCGTTCTATCGATCAGAAAAGATCAATAATATCAATGACTTCACCGTGCACAAATCAAAAATAGGTTTGTTCCGATGCGTTAGTTCATTAGCTACAGCATAAATCCTGTTAGAGCGCATTGTATGAATATTTACGCTCATTGTTCTCAAAACAAAAGAAGCACTCCTAGCGAATCCCCCTTTTTCTACGATTATCCGTAGGACGATGAAAATCTAATGGCGTTTCAAAGCGTTTGGACGGAATTGAAACTCGTAGTACGAATTTAGAATCAAGAAGCAGTATTAGATTTTAAACAATGTCACAACAATTTGTGACTCTTTATCAAATCTAACGGTACGTATGGAAAGGTGAATAAATTTAGAAGTAATATTTGACAGATATTTTCCATTTTTAGTTAAAACTCGTTCAGAAAAGAGAGGTAAAGTGCCCGTTGTGCTTAGTAGGACGGAAACTAGATCAAAAACCCTAGTTCCGATTCGGTTTTTACAAATATTTGTTTCCAAAGTCCAGCATCGTCAATATTTTCTTTTAAGGCCCATTCACTTCAAATCTAAAATTGAAACGACAAAAATCAATTTGAAATATTGCTGAGTGATTAAATTCTACAAACAATAAGACGGGAAACTGATATTCTCTCAGTACCAGATTGATTTTTTTCTAAAATAGCTTTAAGTAATGTTCAAACCAATCTTGGGCTAGGTTAGGTTATCTTTATTAGCGAGACTTTCAGCCAGAGGCTGGTTCATCTCTTGACGAATATTGGGGAATCCAGAAGGGGTCCCCCCTAGTGACAGAGTTTGAAATAGCAGTGGGGATCCAGAAGGGACCCACTAATTAAGAGCAGTGGACAGTCCAGAATAGACCTCCTTAGTAACAGAGTATTTGTTTATCAGAGTTGGCTTTCGAGGTGCTGTCATAGTTAAAAAATGTTCCTGGTTTGGTGCATTTGGTCGGCTAATTGTTATGGTGGTGAATTCCGGTTCCGTTATAGAGGTTGGTCCTGATTTGATGCAGTGGGTCGGTTATGGTTGGTTCTTGTCAGTGAGTTAGGTCAGATGTTCTTATACATGTTGGCGTCCTTGATGAAACATATATTTAACAGCTGCTTCGGTCGAAGGGTCATTGGCCAAGGCGTTTCTAATGTTCGTCGGGATTCCATGAAGATCCCTAATTCCCTGGAAACCTGGGCAATTCACTAAGAGGTGCTCTACCGTCATCGTTGTGTTGCTAATATCGCAGTGTTTTCGGAACGAAGTCGCACTTCCAATATTGTGGGTCGTCCGAGTATGTCCTGAGCGGAGACGAGAAAGAATCAGTTGGTCATGACGGTTTGAGGAATCTTGCCACTTGGTGGTTTCCCCTTTGATTTTAGGAAACCAATCTTGGACATTTTCTTAATTTACTGAATAATTTCATTTCTTGCTTAATATGAACAACCGGTAAATTTTTGAGGCCTTGCGCTGGGAACAAAAAACCGAAATTTCAAATTGAAAATTCACTGACCACCCTGAAATGTCTTAAGAAGGATAATGATTTGTTTCTAAGAGATAAACGATTGATCAAAAGAAAAACTAAGTTTTTGGGTTATCATGGTTGAATTCGGGACAAAAAAAAAACAGTGTAAAAGATACGAATGTGTATTTCCTACTATCAGAGTAACACACATTCTTTGATCTGTCTATTGATTCATTTATTATTGTTTCAGCCATCAAATTATAGCTGTACTGTTGTTGTATATGCCCTGCTCAGGGGTTGAAACAGTTGACGTTTTTTACTACACTCGCTTCGTTGTCGTGTGCGACAGTCTGTTTGTATTCGTACACTCATGCTCTACCGTCGTCTCTCTCACACAACACAACCGGTAGAATGACATTCGAGCAAAAAGAAAATTATCAAATAACTATCATATGACATGAGTGATTTCGTTCTAATTCCTCAATTTGGTGTAAATTAAGGCATTTCTGATCAGAAATGTTATTCCTAAGACATCATTGTTTGCTATTTTCAGAATTCATACTAGCACAAGATCAGCTGCTCTTATTATGAGAAAAACTAAAATACACACACGGTCTTCGGCGACGGTGTCGTATGCCAGAGCCTGTCGTATGACATTTGAGTTTGGTACTGTACTATGATAGTTTGTTTTGCAAGTGTCGGAGGCAAAGGTAGTCGATTATCACAGAAAATGTGTCGACTACCGTGACCGCTTACAAGACTGGCCCTGCTAAAGTTAAATCGCATAACATTCCCTAGTTATCTGAGTTGTTGCAGTATGTTATTGTTTCAGACTTAAAACTAAAATGGGCCTCAAGAAGCCTTTCTGTGTAAATCTACAAATAAAAATGGACACCTTGAAAAAATGGAGGCAATGACTAAGCAAACCTCTGAGCAATACGGTATCCATCGTATGACTGTAAAATTTCTGAAGCAGAACAAAACAGATTGTACAACTAGCGGTAATGAGGTAACAGGTGAGCAAACAACAAAGTATTCTAGCAGCAAAGAAAACTCTTTTCAACAGGCGAAAATGCCAGCAGCACCCACCAGCCAAAGGTAGCAATTATGTCCAACACTGAATAATGAAACTGTCCCCGTTCACCGCGTGTCAGCACCATGTTTTTGGACCACATCAAATATAGAATTCTTCCAAAGTTGAGTTGTTCAGCAAGCTTTTGCTTGTCGTACCAGACAGGTCCAAACAGAGAACCTGACCACAAACTTACCTACCAACCGAACATGTTCATAGAGTTAGCTTTTTATGATCATTGTCTCCACCCCGACCGACGACGAGGACCACTGGGTGACCGATGATAATGACTTTCGCCTCGAGATATCGAACCGGCACGAACACGAGGATAAGCAAGAAAAATTGCCCTACACGGGTGGCTTTTGCTGGAGATATGATCTATCGGTGTTGTTTTCCAATGTGGGTGGTAAATTATTCCTTTTATTGGTTTGATGGTGGAAAATTTTGTGATTTGTGGCTCGAAATAGATTTGCGCCATAATGCTTCCATTTGTATGCATTAATGCAAATTAGATCAACCAAACACAGCTGGCAAGGAAATTGATGGCAATGGATCGGTGTAGATTTGATTGAATGTAAACTAGCGACATGAACTTATGTTGTCGATGGAGACGCTAGGTTCAAATCATTGTTCTTTCAATCTAAAGGAAAACTAACTACGATGAAGCAGAAATGATGCATCTATTCCATTAAATGAAGGAGGATATATGTAGTACCCATATGTTTTATACAAAAATGCTCTTATGGGTTTTAGTTCAAGCACAATGCACGTTAGTCCTTATTCCCAGCGATCGCGAAAGAAGATGACACTACCAGTATGCACTAAAAATGAAGCACTGCTGTGCACTTGTGTGCCTGGTGGTGACCTCTATTGTCTCCACACGCTCATAAGATTTTGCTGTCCAAGCGAAAGATGGGTTTCCTACAGAGCGACAGATGAGTAAGGAGGAACTCTAACGTAAAAGATGAAGGATGGAATCTCATGGATTACACGACAGTACATACAAACGCACACACACACACACACAAACATACGGCGAGTGGCGAGAACGAGAAGGATGCGGGTGCACGGCTAGTTAATTGAAGATGCTCCTCTAGCTACGGAGGACAGAAACGAAATCGGAACGTACCAACAATATAGTGCCGGGATCGTGATTTCTTCAGACTCCCCGGAGCGCTGGCCGCTCCACCCCCGACCCCGGATGGTGGCAGTGTGGACACAATCCCGATAGTGGTACTGTTGGTCAACTTCCCAGCAGCTCCTTCTGCCATCGTCACCGTCGTCGTCGCCGCCGCAGCTCGATTGCTAATTACACCATCGGTCTTGCTGTGCTCTTCGATGGCTTTATTTATAGACTCTCGGGCTTCCAGCAGCGTTTCGTCTCCTGTGTAAGATGGAATGGAAATCATTCGAAACTGCTGATTTATCATAATTTTTTTTCTGAGAGAGGTAATATTGCCACTCGATTGTTCTGTTCTTTCGCCGAAGGAACATTTGGCAAAATGTTTGCCAAGTAACTTGAGTGACAGCGAAGAATAAGCGCGTGATTTGATGGAAGCGAAAGAAATGTACAGTGCAAAAATCTGTATTTAATTGATGTACACGAGATTGAATAGGAAGATTTATTATTTCGTTCGCCATTCGTTATGTAGCTGCTTGTCGCTTATAAGATAGCAATCGTTCCTAATGATAATTGGAAACGTCGTGATGGATTCACAATAACACGATTAAGTATTTATTAGGCGAAGAAAAGCGGCATGGAAACGCTTCATGCTAAGAATAAGAAATTTAAAAAGTGTATGAGAATCGAGATGTAATGTAACCCTGTAATAATGTTTTGAGGCTATCGTGAAAATCTAGGTTTATCTCTGATTTTCCTATACCAAGAAGATTATGCACTTCATTTAATCTATGTAACGTAGAAAAATCATTTGATTCAAACATGAGTTTTTTTGAAGGCCCAAAATAGGAGCATAGGCCTAAATTAAATCCCGTTATCCTATAATGGACTTGTTAGTAATAATTAAATATTCATTGTGAGTTTCATATTATAATATAATTTCACATAACATACGTAGAGCTTCAAAGCAGATGCCTTGGTAAAAATTCCTAATTGTTACACCTAGTCACATAACATATGTGGAACTTTATGAAAAGCTGCTGACTAAGGGCATCTTCAGAGGTGGTCCAAATCCTGGTTTTGGTCTATTTTTTTAGAACAAACACAAAAACACTGCTGCACCGGTGTTCCAAATTTTGTTTTATACTGGATCTAATCTGCATAATTTTGAATCTGGTATATGATTTGATCTATTTTCGTCACAATTTGGAACAAGAAAAATACTGTTCCAAATCACTCTACACGCTCGTTCGAGCTAACTCAAAATTGAGTAAAAAGTCACAAAAAAGTTTCTACTCAGTTGAATAAGATCTAGTAGATATGGAAATGAGTATGAACAACTCAAATTGGATGCTGTTGATTCTTTTTGTATCCCTTTCGTATGTTTTCTTTCTTGCGAAAAATAACCAAACAAGAATAATAGCAATCAAGAGACGTTTAGCATTGATTTTAGCCTCTATTTGCACTTTGAACGAAAATTTCATAACAGCAAGCGGTTCTTGAAAAATCTTGAGCCATTCTGGAGATATTCCGGAATCTACCTATTTTCAGTAGGAACCTATTTTCAGTAGGAACATAGGCAAGAAACTCAGTTGACAAATGGACAACATTGGCATGGATCCGACGTTGTTCAATTGTTAACCTGTCACTGAGAGGTTCAGTTCTGACCGATCAGGATTGGATTTTACTCAAATTTGGGTACACACTTAGAATTTTTTACAGAAATCTGTAAAATTTTACCATAATCTCAACAGCTGAACGTTCGGTAAATAATTTTAAAGTTTTCCTGTAATTATTTATAGATATCTGTGAAAAATTCACAGATATTTGTGAAAAATAACAGGAAATCTGCGAAACTGTTTACCGAACTTTCAGCTGTTGAGATTTCGGTAAAATTTAACAGATTTCTGTAAAAATTTCTAAGTGTGTACCCAAATTTGAGTAAAATCCAATCCTGATCGTTCAAAACTGAACCTCTCAGTGACAGGTTAACAATTGAACAACGTCGGATCCATGCCAATGTTGTCCATTTGTCAACTTGTCACTCCGAACATAGTTTACCCAATTTTTGAGTACACACTAAGATTATTTTACCGAAATCTGTGAAATTTTACCGAAATCTCAACAGCTGAACGTTCGGTAAACAGTTCGGTGATTTTTCACAAATTTCCTGTAATTTTTCACAGATTTTGGTAAAATAATCTAAGTGTGTAGGTTCAGTTGTAACCGATCTGGAAGGATTCTAGCCAAATTTGAGTAGTTTTGAAATAACGTGTAAGTATTGACGTTGAGGACGGCTCTGTAACTCTTTACTCCTATGATAAAATCCCATCTGTCAATATGTGCTTTTGCTAGCGGATTTTGTCTTATCTCTTCACTCAACCATGGTACCAGCGAGCCGCTGTCTCTTAATGCAAAGATTAACAGTATCTTATATGGGATTTTTCCACTGAAGTGAAAGGTTAAGGAAATGTATAACATGTTTCACGCACAGACTGATGTTCTCATTTTACCATGGGAGTAAATATTTACAGAATGACCGTACAGGCGAATTGTCAAGGTAATGCGGCCATTCTTGTTTAGACTAGCTTTAGGGCACATGGGGCTTATCAAAGGATTTATTAACGCGTGTAAACCAGTCATATTGTAGATAACCAGTCAGTAGATCGTTGCGTTGGGATTTGAGCAGAAACATTCAATTGTACGCCATTGAGAAACATAGAGAGGGTTGAAACCTTGGGTGTTACAGGTATCGATAAGCGCTCGATTTCATTTGTCCTTCTTGCAAAATTCTTGCGAATGGAAAGATGCAAGGTCATCTCAAAACACAACATCCAGAGATTTATGTCTGTTTTACGTATTAAATCCAAGAAGAATAAGTTCCACCACTGCTATTTAAAAAAAAGGTGGATACATTTGTTATTTAAGTTTATCATAGAGAAAGAAAATTGAAAATTACCCACGCAAATTTAAAGAAATAAACAAGTATTCACTTGGAGTTTCTCCAGTTCTGGTCATAATTACAAAAAAGCTATACGTATCGCTTTCAAAACTGAATTGTAAACAGTTAACACATGGCAGCTTAAAATTACATTTTTTTTATGTGGCAGGTCATCGCTTAAAAAATGTCTACTTTTTTATGCAAACGTTAATTTATGTTATGCTGTGTGAAGCAAGATGATGCATTTGTTAAAGCTAGCTTTATAATTATAAATAAAGGACGTAAATGATTAAGGCAATACAAATACATAAGTCCAAGAGTTCTAAGAAGACCTAGAATCATATAGCTCGTTAGAATTATTTTAATAGAATTGACTACCTCCTTGATCTCCTTTCTCATTTTACAGCTGGTATAATCAGTTTGACAAATCGATGTCCTACTACGCCACTTGAAATCACTGAAATGGGGTCCATTTTTGATGATCGAGTTCTATATATGTTATGTGACCTGGTATAACTGGTATAACTGCACATTACGGTGCATTGATTTAAAAAAATAGCAATCTAATAGTTGGATTTATAACCCCAATATATGAGTCTGTGTAAAAAATGGCGCCTGTCATGGTGGTTACTCATACCAAGTAACATTTCAAGTTTTATAGAGATTTTATAGCATTCTACAAGTCTAAATCATGGTCTACAGAACATTCATAAAACCAAAATTGTTACATGAGATGCCATGAATTAACTGGCCAAAATATCGATTAACATACATTTCATTAATAAAAGCTGTGCACCAAAATACATAAGCGAATTGTTAGACGCCCATCTAGTACTGTGTAAAATTGATCTGCAAAGATCTAACATAACGCAGATTCATTCAGTGCCCTTCAGTCCGCATCGAGCTCTCTTGCCGTGCGAATCTATTTGCTTTTGCTGAAGGAAGTGTTACTACTACCTAAAGCTACAACAAATTTAAACAGCACTTTTCAGTGCTCAACACGTAAAATTTCTACCTTGTTCAACTCTTATTCCTCTTCGATCCTTGTTTGGACATTACCCGAGGTAATCCTTCTTGGATATCGATTTGGAAAATTCCTCTTCGATCCTTCAGATTATTATAGTAATCTGCTTGGAAGTCGATTTGGATAAAAATTTACTGCCGCCATGGCGCCTAAACGCAAAAGAAAGGGGCAAACTCTTGACCCCCCCCTGATGAAATTAATTTGAGTAATCAATTTGATTTGCTCACGGATGATGAGAATGATCCATCATCCAAGAAAAATTCTAGTAAACTTTCCCGGCTTAATGCCAAGAAAGAAAATCTCCCCCTATTGTGATATAATTTCCGATTTCCATGCTTTTCGCATGGAGCTTTTGAACTTCGTGAAAGTTAAGTTTTCACTACAAATTGGACGTCGGGGTGGACGGCTTGGACGGATTTAAATGTCTTCATCAGTTGAATGATATCATACTCTTCCTCCTGCTGAACATACTTATTCAGAATTACCATTACTTTCTTCTAATTTCAAATATGGCAGATTAGTGCAATGAATTTAAGCTTCATATATAAAGATTATTATCTTTTATTAGAAAATGGCAACATGAGCAAATTTAGGACTTCAAGATAGAAGCAGCACAATTTTTTTACTTACGACACCAAAACTGAACGTGTGTTCAAGGTTGCCATGAAAAGACTGCCCAGTGGTGAATCCCTGGATCAGATCAAAGATGAACTGGCAAAATTAATTGGAGTTGTGCCACTCCAAGTAATCAAAATGAAAATGAAATCCCGTCCTGGCAATTCACGCAACGGGATTTCTAATTATTTTTATTTAGTTCACTTCAAGTCTAGTGAACTAAGCAACCTTAAGGCCTTAGAAAAAGCTAGCCTTATGCTCCATGTCCGAGTGAAGTGGGAACACTTCAGGAAGACTGGAGGAAATTTTTAAAACCTCACCCAGTGCCGCAAGTGCCAGGAATGAGGTCACGAAACTAAAACTTGCTACATGCCAGCTAAATGCATGAATTGTGGTGATTCCTCTCACGCAAAGGACGACTGTCCTGTGAAGGAAGATCCTAAGAAATTTGAATGTTCAAATTGTGGTGAAAACTACAAATCCAATTTTTGGGAATGTAAGAATCGTAAAGCGATCCTACAATCTCGTTCTAAGTGACAGGTAGGAAACGCTCCACGTACCCGACCAGGTACAAATTACTCTGCTGTTAACAACGGTCAGCGAGGAACAAATTGTACATTCGTACCCGTAGCTACAAATATCACCCCTGCTTCAAATTTTTCATCTATACCTACTTCCCTCGCTGCTAACAATGTTCAGCAAGTAAATGGAGCTACCTATGCTGCTATTGCACCGGGTAGAAATCAAAATACTAACCAACGTAATTCTAACAGAAATTTTGAAAATTTTGACTTAGGAAGCATTACTGCCCCTAAAATGGAATGCATATGCATAAATCTAACTTGATGTTTGATGCTATTCAAACTGGAGTAAAATTTGCGAACAATATTGTCATGACTTTGAAATTCAGCAATGGACTTTAAATCATTAAATATTTTAAATTGGAACGCTCGATCTCGAAGATAATGAAGACGAACTATTCAACTTTTTAAGAGTTCATAACGTGCATATTGCCGTTATAACTGAAACGTTCCTTAAACCCGACCATAAGTTTAAAAGGGACGCAAATTATTTCATTTATAGAAATGATCGTCTTGATGGACTCTATGGTGGCGTTGCCATCATTGTTCATAGACGAGTCAAACATAAAATTCTTTCTTCATTTGAAACCAAAGTTTTCGAAACTTTTGAAGTTTCTGTTGAAATAAAATTTGGACAATTTACGTTTATAGCTGCCTATTTGTCATTCCAGTGCGTAGGCCAGCAAAAGAATTTTCTCAAGGGTGACCTTCAGAAACTTACCCGTCATAGGTCTAAATTCTTCATTATTGGTGATTTTAATGCAAAACACCGCTCATGGAATAATGCTCAAAGCAATTCCAATGGTAATATTCTGTTTGATGATTGTTCTGCAGGTTATTACACTATTCAATATCCAAACAGTCCAACATGCTTTTCTTCAGCACGAAATCCCTCAACTATTGATTTGGTCTTAACAAATTCATGTCAACTTTGTAGCCAATTGGTTACCCATGCTGACTTCAGTTCTGATCACCTTCCAGTAACTTTTGAAATATCCCAAGAAATAATTTCTAATCCCAACAGCTCTACTTTCACTTACCATAGAGCTGATTGGGAGCATTATCGAACATTTATGGAATTTAGCTTCGATCCAAACATTCCTTTGCAAACCAAAGATGAAATTAATTATGCTCTTGAATTTCTGACAACTTCTATAGTTGAAGCAAGAGCTGCCTCAGTACCAAAATGCGAGGTTAAATTCGATTCAATTATCGACGATCTTCAGCTCTTGATCCGTCATAAAAATGTCCGTAGGAGACAATATCAAAGAACACGCGATCCTGCCATGAAAATTATCTAGCGGGATTTGCAAAAACAAATTAAAAAGCGATTCTCTGTCTTGAGCAACAAAACATTTGAAAATAATATTTCTAAATTAGACCCAAGTTCCAAACCCTTTTGGAAACTCACAAAAATTTTGAAAAAACCTCAAAAGCCTATTCCAGCGCATAAAGAAGGTGGTAAAATTTTGATCACAAATTTGGAAAAAGCTCAAAAACTTGCTAAGCAATTCGAGAGTTCCCATAATTTCAGTTTGGATCTTACCTGGATGAAGTAGGATCTATAACTAAAAAGTTTCATAATATGAATGCTCCAGGTGGTGATCGAATTTTCTATATCCTCATCAAAAAACTCCCAGAGAGTACCTTGTCTTTCTTGGTAAAATTATTTAACAGATTTTTCCATTTGGCATACTTTCCTGATAAATGGAAAATGCAAAAGTTGTTTCAATTTTGAAGCCGGATAAAAATCCAGCTGAAGCTTCTAGCTACCGTCCAAAAAGTTTGCTTTCTTCAATAAGTAAACTTTTTGAAAAGATAATTTTAAATAGAAGGATGCTTCACATCAATATGAACTCAATTTTTGCAGATGAGCAGTTTGGATTTCGCCATGGGCATTCAACTACTCATCAACTCTTAAGAGTTACCAATTTAATTCGTGCAAACAAATCTGAAGGCTACTCAACTGGGGTTGCGTTTCTAGATAAAGAAAAAACATTCGACAGTGTTTGGCATGAAGGTTTGATTGCTAAATTGAAAAAGTTTAAGTTAGTTCAGAATTATTTAACTGACAGAACTCTGCAGGTAAATTACCAAAATTCCAAATCCAATCGACTACCTGTTAGTGCAGGAGTTCCTCAGGGTAGCATTCTTGGGTCCATATTGTATAACATTTTCTCTTCGGACCTACCTGATTTGTCTCAGGGTTGCCACAAATTTTTGTTCGCTGATAACACAGGCATTTCCGCTAAAGGAAGAAGTCTTCGTGTTATTTGCAGCCGACTGCAGAAAAGTTTAGATATTTTGTCTTCTTATTTACAAAAATGGAAGATTTCTCCCAACGCTTATAAAACTCAACTTATAATATTTCCACATAAGCCTAGAGCTTCGTTTTTGAAACCTAGTAGTAGTCACATAGTCACTATGAACGGAGTTCCAATTTCCTGGTCAAACCAAGTGAAATATCTTGGATTAGTACTTGAGCAAAAATTAACTTTTAAAGATCACATTGAGGGCATTCAAGCCAAATGTAACAAATATATAACATGTTTGTATCCTCTTATAAACAGGAAATCCAAACTTTGCCTGACGAACAAACTTCTAATATTTAAACAAGTTTTTAGACCGACCATGCTTTACGCTGTGCCAATATGGTCTTGTTGTTGCACTACCAGGAAAAAAGCACTTCAAAGCATTCAGAACAAAGTTCTGAAAATGATTTTGAAGTTGCCTCCCTGGTACAGTACTACCGAGGTACATAGAATTTCGAATGTTGAGACTTTAGAACAAATGTCCAACAAAATAATTAATAATTTCAGGCAAAAATCGCTGCAATCCTCAATTGCAACGATTCATTCCCTTTATACTGAAATAAAATTTAGTTTTAGTTTTTAGTTTTAAGATTTCAATTGTTTTACCGACATGCAGGTTTAAATTTGTTTTTAAAATACTGGATTGCCAAGGCAGGAACAATGTAAAAACACTTAGATATATATCATAACAATTAAGGCTGGTACGTTACTGTAGTAACTGGAGCACGTAGGTTAAAATGAAATGTAATTTACTTTGAATTTAGAACAAAGAAAGAGTAAAAAAAGGTAATTTTCAGAGCGATTGGATGAATTACGTTTTTATCAGAATTGATATTTACCCTATACCAACGAGTAAATTAATTTAAAAAATATCCTCCACTTATGATTAGTATGACAAGAACATCTTAGAATACTAAGTTGATTTTAACGCCACTTTTATTTGGTTGACAACAAATTAGATTTCGGCAACTATCGCTGTAAGGTTTTTCGTCCCATGACTAGAAGTTAACCGCCATAAAATGCTCCAGTAGCTATGCTTCTGCTGAACGTTCAATCATCGTACAGTTCTCAGCTGTCTTGCAATGCAAAGTTCCATGAACCAAGAATTGTGTATGCTCAATTCGTAAATCTTCGTCCCGAGAGAAGATAGCAAAATCACTATTTGCCTAGACAATACTGCTGCCCCAATTGCGATGATAACGAAGCAAACAAACAAACAAACAAGTAATCATCCCATCAAACCTAGCAACGATTTGCTGCCTATTCTGTACGACCTCGACCAACACACATCGTATCTAGTACATAATTTAAACGCCATAAATCTAGCGAACTGTCTCATTGCAGCTTGCTCCCATACATCCATCTACCGAATGAGACAGTAAGCAACGTGTACTAGGTACTATCTTCCTTCTTCGACAAACATAGTTAATCCCTTATCAGTGAAATGTCAGTAGTGCTCACTGGTAAGAGCAAACCCTACTAGTGAGTTGAGCGAAACAAAGCGCGATGATTCGCCTGCTGTTGTCAGACGATCACTAATCTAAGCCGGCAATGTACATTTCGTGTTGATCTACTGTTTGTGGAAACCTGTTCCGTTTGCTAGGCTGAGACTTTCAGCTATGTGACACAAGATGCATTTGTATTAAAATTAAAACTGGAAGCATATCAAAAGCGAAAAATTGTTTAACTCGATTTCATTCCTAAAAGATATTAAACTGAAAAAAAATCAAAAGAAAAACTTTAATAGATTTCACACCTGAACCATAGCTTACCTGAGAAAACTCGCTCCCGCGTCCGCATGATGGCATTGTTACGCCGCACCGTCACACACAGGTGAATCATTAAGAACATGGTTAGGTTCATTACGACACTTTGCACCAGTAAGGGAATCTCGAACCGGCTGGAAAACCTACAAGGGAAAACGTGGAAAAAGCGGAAGTTATTTCACTTGCTAAAATATTATTACGATGGTCACAGCAACACACTCCATCTCTATCGGCGTCACAAGCTGTTCGGTAAAATGGCAGGGAAAAACAAAACATAATTCTCCTAATAGGATATTTTCAACCGGTGCGTAGCACATTCTAGCATTTGCCATTTGACCTGGAGGCCTTTTTTTAAAAGAAAATATTGTTCTACCGTTATGACGGATGCGAAAAAAATGGCAAATCACAATTTCCAATCGAATGAAAACAAACCACCATCATAATGGGGATATTTCAGAATCACCTTCAATGGTGTCTTATTTTAGTTTCTCGCATGAAAAACTCTGGGACACACGTGGAGAGAATCAATTTGGGCAAGCTTGAAATAGCCGCTGCAGATGAGGTTGACGATTAGGAGCTCATTGATGTTGGCTGCGGCACAAGAACGGAATTCAAGCAACCAGAAATTGAATTGAAATGGATCAAATTCGGAACAAGTCAAAGTCTTCCTCCAGACAAATGAACTTCTGCTAAGCGATTCTTAAAATTTTCTCAAAATTATTACTCCACAGCCCATTTGACTTGAACCGAACCAGCATTTATGGAGCCATAAAAGCAAAAATCTAACCATGTATGCTACCCTTTCCTCCATTAATAAAATCAGACTCCATAAAACCACCATTCATAGTCAATCATCACCATACATTCCATTTTTCATCAAATCAATTGTTTATTCACCTCTTCACCGATATAGGTTAGCGATGAACTCTTCATTCAGACGACCGTACTTTATCCATTCAAGTCAGCTGATTTTATTTAATCAATATATACATACAGCTGCTCTGCCGTACAAGTAAAACCACTCCAGCGGGTAATAATATTTTCTTGTTTTCCTCTCTCTCTCTCACACACTTTGCATTTTGCCTTCCTGGGGCCAAGACGTGCCATGCCAAATAAAAAACAATTGGCTGTCCGTTGCGAGAAGTTCACTTTCATTCCATTTCGAATTTCACTCTGAGCTGTCTACCGGCCGGCGCGGTGTGGATCTAAGTGGCATCACTCTACTAGCATTTTTGGAGAAAGTTCAGTTAGCGAAATCTGCGGCCGTCGTGTGGTCAACGGTCTTCTTTACTAGATCAGAGACAGAAAGCCGCAGGTTCAATGAATCGCATCTGAATGAGTGTGAAAGTACCAAGTCGGTGATGCAATCATTTGAGATTCAATCAAAGGCGTAACTCTAAAAATAGCCACCACCAGCAACTGGATGGAACTGGATCCGAGGGTCAACCAGCGACCGTTCAAGGTTGGCTTCGATTGATCGAATTTAGATGCAATTTATTTGCCCGATTCAATCACGCAATTTATGTTAGGCAATTAATAATTGTTTGCGGCTCTCTTGGGAGAATGATTTATTGATCTAGGTTGCCTCGTGAGTCGAGGGAAGGGTCAGTACGAACACGTTGCTAGATCACGATGATTATATATAGACCAATGCCATGCCGGGAGCGGATGACGACTGTCGTCCATTGCGGCGTGGGTGGTCAAAACCTGGATCATGAAAGCAAAGTCAATTACCTAGTTTTTCGATGCATATATGCAAAGATTTCAATCTACCGGCGCGCCGTCGGAATCGGAACGGAAGAAGCTGGCAAAATTGAAATATGAATTCGCCAACTGACACCGAGCAATTTGTACCGAGTGACAGGAATGAGATGTATCTTTCAAGATCAGAAACTGCCGGAAACTACGTCTCAAATGATTGCTATGCTATGTGTTCGAGATATATTTATAACTGTTGACGACATGGTTTGCAACAGGTGGCGGCGCGTTCGTATAGTTAGATTTGCGTTAGGGTTATGATCTCATTTCCGTAGAGCAACCCGCCCTTTACCTCAACAGTTTTGTACAATACTAACGAATGCTTCTACTATAGATCACTCCGGATTATTTTACCTTTCCATGAGTAACTTTTGATTTGAAAAAGAGTCACAAATTATTTTCATTTTACTAAAAATATATCACTGCTTCTTGATTTTAAATTCGCCCTACGAAATTCAATGTCAAACGAACACATTGAAACGTCATTGGATTTACTTCGTCAAAATCTTGAAGTCACAATAAAGATTAGTAACGGAAATGAGAGTGCCTATTACCGGGCTGGTAGCGATTGATGTTCAAGAAAATATTAATTTTAGTCACGGTTTTCGAAGGTGAATAGGAGCGCATACAGTTTACTCTTAGTTCCTCGAACACATCCCTAATAGCCATTAGTTTATCTCCAGTCAATTTAATTTTTGATGCTCTTGTCTTGGGATCATCAAATCGTAAATGCTTCAATATAGCACAAAATCTATCTCGGGCCATGACTGTATTGTAAAACGGAACACGATGGAAGTAATCGGTTGTCCATAAGGATGATACAGACCGGTTGCGGGACTTGTGAAGACCAATTACTATTAGTTCAGATAAGAAACTGTGAAACTCAACATCAGATAGCTGTTCCCATTCTGAGTCGTCAGCTGCATGCTGGTTTGTGTGCAGAACAATGTGCTGAACCATTTTTGAAGTGAAAAGAAACTTAAGCGCATCAAATAGTGTTCTCAAGCTTTCACTGTACGTTGTTAATGTCGGTCTTCCAATATCATCAAAATGCATACTATCTGGCTCCTTCGCATTAGTCCACAAAAATCCTATTTGGAATGAAGCACCATCAGTATTACAGTAAATTTTTACCAACATGTTAAGGTCAAATCAAACTAATATGACCAATGTTGGCCTATGAATGTTATTGGTCCCATCGATAAAAATAACCTGTTCTTCAATTTTTCTTAGAACATTAGGTTTACTGTACAATATAAACGGCAATTTCGTCGTTTTCTTCTTCATCAATTTCAATTTCTCTGTCACTTACATCAGATGCAACAGAAGCACTGTCTCTTATTTCAAATTCACTCTCACTTTGATCAGACATGGTATGGCAAAACGCTATAAAATTTGAAGCAATCAAAAATGGCAGAGCAACTAAATATTTTTCATTGCTCGATCCAGCATTGGTCTATGAACATCGTGAACATAAATACATATATAAATCATTTGATTCTATGCGTATGTGCATGCGACGAAATATTCTCGTAAAGTTGACACGAATACCAACAAGGTGTGTAATAGAAAGACTGAACGTATTGGTGACCTTTGTTTTTCAGTCGGCTTTTATTCCGCTTCGCACGATTCGTTTCGTACGTTCGCTCTTTCACCCTTGTAGTGACGTCATAACGTGTTTTGATCAGCGTTTGCATCACGCAGAAAAATTGATTTTTGTTTCAAGGACTAATACGTTTTGTTATTGAATCAAAAATATTGTACCATTACTACTAAAAACAATATTTTCGAATCAACTAAATGGTTTTTAGAATCACTAAATGATTAATTGACATCCGATGATTCAAAAATATTTTTCGTTGAATTTATCGAATAATATATTTGGTATTCAAACCTATAAGCCCTCAGTAAAAATACATACATTTGAATTTAAAAATCATTTCTCTGCATGAGGGAATTTAAAAGGATTTAATATGTTACCAAACTGAATGCATGTTCTTCCACTGAATGTTGAGGTAATTTATCACACTGTATACCATGAAAACGCAACTTATCGGTGAGTTTTTACCCGTTTTAAAGTAAGGAGTTATTATTAAATGGCAAAACGTCAGCTAATATTTCCCGGCGACTTTACAAAATAATACGATCAAGCGAAATCATCATGCAAACATAGCTAGGATTTGTTTTACTTCACATTTCGCAAAGTTGCTTTCGAGTGTTTTGAATTCGTCACCATCGTCTCCTGAAATGTATGCATTTTTCCCTCTACCAACACATACTTGACGGTTAGATGTTTACACTTTGTATATACCAGGTTGCATGACTACAACTGTGTTGAAAAATGTACACGGACACACACGCAGTAAAAGTAAGCTGATTCGATTCAAGATTTTTGGAAAAGGTTCAGCCAGTTTGAAATACTCAGCTGATTCTGAACACTTTATTTACAAAAATGTGGACGAATTTCATATATATGTATTTTATGGATGTTCCGGATCCATGCTAATGTCACGAACCCAATTTCTACCTTATATCACAGTTCCAAGTGTAAAAAAAAACCGCGGCTTTTCACAGTTTTATGCATCAACCACATTAACGGATATTCCGGATCTTTCAGAGGATGTCCATCTAGGCCCATGATTATGTCACGACCCCACATTATATCACATATCATAGTTTGAAGTGTTTTCGGAAAAGCCGTGGAGCTCTAGAATCTGTATCATGGATGGACCACTTTTACGGACGTTATGGATCTTCCGGAGAACGGTCCCATGGTCATTCGGGTTCATGTTTATGTCATGACCTCCAATTCTTTCTTATATCACAGTTCCATGTGTTTTCGAAAAAAACGTTGAACTCTAGGATCAGTTCCATCGATTAACCATTTTACGGATGTTCCTGATTTTTCGGAGGATGGTCCCATGGCCATCCGGGTACATGTTTATGTCACGACCCCAAATTTATTCTGTCATCACAGATCCAAGTGTTTCTAAAAATGTATGGAGTCATGGGATCACTTTCATAAATTAACCACTTTTACGGATGATCCGGATCTTCAGGAATACGGTCCCATGGCCATCCAGGTTCATCTTTATGTCACCACCCCTAATTCTTTCTTATATCTCAGTGTCAAATGTTTTCAAAAATCAAAGGAGCTCTAGGATCAGTTTCATGGATTGACCATTTTACGGATCTTCCGGATCTTCCAGAGAACGATTCCATGGCCACCCGGGTCCATGTTTATGTCAGTTCCCCAAATTCTTCCATATATTACAATTCATAATATTTTCAAAAAAACCACGGAGCTCTAGGATCAGTTTCATTGATTGACCATTTTACGGATCTTCCGAATCTTCCAGAGAACGATTCCATGGACGCACGGGTC